GCCAAACCTACCTCACCACCGGAAAAACCAACAACCCAAAACCCCAAAGGAAGGAGGGTGCCAAATGTCTCAATGGGGAAGTGTTTTACAATCGGGATGCTCGCTCTGTCCGTGGCCTTGAATCTTCGCATTCTCGCTGAGTCACCAGCGAAGCCTCTGGTGTTGAAACTGGTCCGGTGCCTCGTGCTGATTAATGAATTACAAATCCCCCACCCATGTGCCCTCTCCCTGGTCACTGGGAAGAAGAATGAAGAACCTTGTGAACTAAAGAGAGAAGCTGGGCAGTGGGCCCTCCTGCCCCCTTCCTCCCCCTCAGGGGGCATTGTGAGCTGGTTAGTCACCTGCCCCAGCCTCTGGCGCCTCACAGAGCTCCAGCTTTTGGAAATGGGACAAGCAGCGGGACAATAGGCAAGGGGGGCGGTCAGCCCAGACAAAGGGCAGCAGGAAAAACACCATCACTTGCTTTGAGGCCAGTTCGCTGGCATTTGGGAGAATGTGTCATTGCATTTACTCAAGGGGAAGGGGGAGGGAAGGTTAGAGATGAGGAGGCAGAGGTAGGGTGGGCGCAGGGAACCCAAACAGGGCAGGAGGCAGGGGGCAGGCGTCCCCAGGCGGAGTCCGAGGGAGAAGCCCACATCGAGACAGGCTCCCGCCCCTGGTTCTCGGTGTCTGCAGACGGACCGATGCCCTCCCAGCCCCCTCCCCCAGGAGGCCCAGGGTGGTACCGCCGCAGCCTCGCCTCACCTCACCCCCCCTCAGTGTTGTGGGAGGGAGAGGAGCCCCAGAAGCCCTCCCTTCCCTCCTCCCCCGCCTCCCCCCACCCCGGGGAGGGCTGCTACAATTTGTGGTTACAGCTTTACACGTCAGAAAAAAAAAAAAAAAAAAAAAGTTTGCAGAATGTCCCACACCGAAAAAAAAAAAAAATCCGAAACCGAGCGAAAAAAACCTGCGAGTGGGCCTGGCGGATGGGATTATTAAAGCTTCGCCGGAGCCGCGGCTCGCCCTCCCACTCCGCCAGCCTCAGGGAGAGGAGCCGCGCCCGGCCGGCCCGGCCCCCAGCCCCATGGACCTCCGAGCAGGTAGGAGCCAGGCGTCCGAGGCCCCGGCCCCCGCCCCCGCCCCGCCGCCGCGAGATCCGGTTCCCGTCCTCCTCCCGCCCCCCGGGAGCCCCACGCCGGGGCCCGGCCGGGGAGCAGGGCTCGGGCCGGGGGAGGCACGGCTGGGCGCCCTCGAGAGGGGCCGGGCGGGGACGCGGCATTCCTGGAGTCCGGTCGGCCGGGCAGGAGGTGGCGGGGAGCGCGACGGGGAGCCCGGACGACCCGCAGACCTGGGGAGGCGGTAACCTGGAGCCCCAGAGAGGCGGGGTCCCACGGAACCCGCGGACAGAGAGCCCCGCGCAAAAGTCGGGGCGAGCGAGTCCGAGGCGAGCAGCGAGGCTGCGGGGGGAGACGCGGCGCGAGGGGAGGGGGCCGGGGAGAGGAAGAGGGAGGGCGAGGCAGGGGAGCTCGAGGCCGGGCCGGCGGGAGGCGAGGGGAGGCCGACACCTCGGGCCGGGCCGCTCTCCCTCCCCGGACCGCCGGGAGGGGAAGGCGGGCAGGAGGGAAGGCGGGCGGGCGAGAGGAGCGGAGGGCGGAGGGCAGAGCAAGCCTGGCTGGGCCGGGCCGAGCGGGCCGGGCCGCGGGATTCGCGGCTTCCTTGCTGCGCGCTGCGCGGCCGCAGCCCTCCACGCTGCCCACGGCCCCGGAGCCGCCGGCAGGTAGGGGCCAGGCGGCTGGTTGGCTGGCGGCAGCGAGCCTCGGCCCGCCGGCCTGGGAGTGATTACTGCGGGGGGGGGGGGGCGCAGCCCGGCTGGACCCAGCAGGAAAAAGTCCGTCACCGGTCCGGCAGCCACGGGCTCTGTCGGCAGCGGCCGCTCGCCCGGCGGCCGGCGGAAGGAGAGCGGGCAGGGCAGGGAGTTGACGCGCGGGAAAGGGCAGCGGCCGGGGCCGAGCCCCGGAGCCGGGCGCCCGGGACCCCGCCCCCGCCCCCGCCGCCGGGTGGAGAGCCACCGGGCGGGAGCGGGCAGTGGGCGGGGCCGGGGGCGCCGGGGCCACACAAGGGGAAGGCACCACCGCCTCCGGGAGGGGTCCGGGAAGGAGAGGTCACCCCCGAGGAGGGAGGGCCAGCGAGCGGCCACCGCCGCACAGTTCCCTGGCCCTGCCCCTCGAAGCAAATCCTAGGTTTGCATGGCCTTGCCAGAGTCCCCTCATTTCTACTCTCCTGCATTCTTTTCCAGCAGCTCCATACTGAGCTCCAGGAGTCCTCCCTACAGATCTCCAATCCCAGAGGACCTCCTGTGTCCTGTTCAGGGCCCAGGATTGGGAAGGGGCTGCCAGTAGAGGAAGGGGAGACAGGCGGTGGGGGCATGGCAGGGGAAGTCTGAGCCTTAGAGAGAGGCTGAGGGTGAGAGCAGGGGACACCTCTCCCTGGGACTCTGATCCAGGGACATCTCTGGGCTTTCAATGCCCCTCCGACGGGACACAGGTTCATATTCTAACAGACCAGATACACTGGCTGCCCTGGAGCCACACATTCAGCCAGGGGAGGAAACTGGCAAGAGATGGCAGCAACTGTCACTGGGCAGTCCAGAAATGTCTACTAACTGGAGCAATATCTCCTCCCCTCCACCACAGACGTGCACTCCTGTCCCATTCACACTGGTGTACACTACCCCTACACTACCAGCTACTGATTCCTGACACTTCACATTCCTGCCCACAATCCCACCTGCTGGTTCACACCCTGGCTCCTGCTGCTCTCTGGCCCCTCCCAAACCCTCCTGCACCCTCTTGATAACAACACCCTTTCCAGCTCACCCACACACTTGCCCTGGACTATTTACTTCACTTCTTCCCCCTCTGGTTTCAGCTGGCTTCTCAGCCCCCCCCACCACACACACACACACATACTTCACTCTGACTCTCCCTGAGCACACCCAGGGCCCTCTTGCGGCAGTCAGGTAGCCTCTCCCTCCAACCAAAGCCCAGTTCCTGTCTTGGTGCCTTACTTCAAAAGGCAGCAGCCTGCCCGCCCTGTTTCTTTCCCTGGACCTTGGCTTTTTCTGTCATTTGGACTGGAAGAGAAGGACACGAGGGGATGTTGGAGAGGACAGCAGAGATGGAGCCCCATGTTCCAGCTGGGAGGACCTTTAGCATGCACAGTGCCACATCCTTGTGCAAGCCTATGGTCACCAGATGGTTCATGGCAAAGCTAGGTCTCCTGAGTTCCAGACCCCTGTGTCCTCACTCACCCTGCCACTTCTCAGCGGCCCAGGAGAAAGGGAACCAGGAAGAGGGCAGCCAGCTCAGAAGATGGAGAAAGCTAGGTTTCTGTGGGCTTTGCCCTGTGCAGGCAGGTCAGGAGGCAGCCTCCAGGGCAGTTTCCTAGTCCTGTGCATGGATCTCACGCCACTGTGTACACACTACCTCCTAGGCTACTCTACCCCTTCCCCCGCCCCCATTTCCCAAAACAGACCCCCCCCAAGGTCACTCAGTTTTGTTTCTGGTCTGGCATGAGGACAGGGCCTTTCCTCATGTAGAGTTCTAGAACTCTCCAAAGCCTCCCAACATCAACGTTTAGAGCTTACAGCTCTTATTCACCAATTCCAGGTGCAGTCTCCACCCAACCACCCTGGACATCCCTGCCACTAAGTACTGTTAGCCTGGGGCATAGGCCAGGGAGCGAGGGACAGCTGGCTGAATACAAGTACACTGTGGTGTGCCTGTGCAGTGTGTCGGGATGGCCCTGCGCTTGCGTGGGCTGACAGTGTGTGTGTTCATGAGGGGGGCCTCGTTCCCAGGGCCCAGGGATCTGGATGGAATTAGGGGCTGGCCCCGGAGGGGGCCAGGATGGGGGGGCTGCAGCAGGAAACGTGAGCTGCACTCATTAGCTCCTCACGTGCTCAGCCGGATTTATAAACACAAGGAGAAGACGGGATGTAAACAATCAGTGGGCAGCAGCCAGAGGCAGAGCAGAGGCCGGCAGTGGGGGTAGGACTGGGGGAGGGGGCCAAGATATGGCCCCATGGTGGGGTTCACCTGTACACTCTGAGCCAGAGAGGAGGGTAGGTGGGGGCTCCAGAGACTCATTAGATACTGCCACCCAGGAACACAGGGGAGCCGGAGCTGCTCTGGGCTCCAGTATTCACAATGAACTCAGGTATTCTCTGCGTCAGGCAATTTTCTGCTTTGCTGCCTGAGATATGGGCACATCTTGCCCAGTGTGCAAGGTGTCACAGTAGGAGGCAGAACCCTGAACTTCACCTGCCTTTCTCCTCTCCAGGCCTCCTGATTCCTGAGACTCCTTCCTTCTTTTCTACTTCTCTCTGGCCTGGTCAGTCAGCTCCTTCTGTTCTCCCCTGTCCCCCCAGCCCCCAGCCTGCAGTGACAGAGTTACCTCAGAACTGAAATATTCCTGGAAACACCGGCCCTGTCTGTTTAATTTCATGAGCCGTTTTTCTGCCCAGATGACTTAGCTCTTGTTTATCCAAAGGCTTCTCCCCCTGCTGTCCTTGTATAGGGAGCTGGTCCCCCCAGGGATGTCCCCCAAGGCCCAAGAAGGGAGGAAGAAACAGGCCCAGGGCTTCTCACCACTTCTCTGCCACTGGGGCAGCCCAGTCCCAGAACTCTGGCCGTTGAGGCAATTCCTACGTCAGTGGAACTTTGGCATTGCCAATAACTTCAAGCAAGGCCAGATTCGTCATCCTGAAAGCTACCTCAAGACGGAAGGGCCACTGTCCCTCTCAGCAGGTCTTCAATCTCCAAAATCTCCAAAACTAACCCATAGGGTTCTGGAAGGGACTCAGCCAGAGATCTGGGCTGAGGACTGCCCAGGGCTTTGTGCAGAGAAGGGCCTGGAGTCTTCTTGAGATATGAAGATGAAAGACTAGGAAGGAATCAGGCCAGACAAGAGCTAAATGGAAAGAAGGACTGAGGAAGGTGTATTCAAGCTACAGGTAGGAGAGGAAAGTGGAGTTGGTGCCCCACCCTGCTCTCTGTCCTAAAATACAGTGGGCACATGCACAGGTACCCTCACACCAGGAGTCCTTTACTCAAAAGAGCAGTCCCTGTGGATAGGAGGCACCCCTACTCCGACGACCCATCAGTAAAGCCAGCCATTCAAGCATATGATAGAGTCCATACTGACTGGCTGGGCCACTGCAAAAGTCCCCACCTGTCCCCTGTACTCTCTGAGACACTTTATAACATCCTTGATAGTAACCCCCTCTAAGGGCTAAAAGACCCAGTTATTATAACTAATGTCTAAACCTAATCTAGTCTTCATTCTTTCCTAACTCCAAACCCTATCCTGACTGCAGTCAAATTGTTAAACCTATCCAACTTATTTCTATCAAAGAAACATGTCATTATAGAAAAAATTGGAAGTATAAAATATAAACTAGAGAAAAGAAACAACTTGACCTCATACCTATCCAAGCTTAAAACCCAAACGAGACCTACCCTTTGTGACATGCCAAGTGTTGCCCCATCTGACATCTAAATCAACAAATTCATAAACCTTAGCCCCAGCTAACCATCTGCCTGCCCAAACCTAACCACATCCCACTGCTGGACTCAAACCTCAACCACACTCAATCAACCAAATCCCAAGTCTAAACTAATCTGAAGCATTAAAAGTAACCTAGTCTTTAAACCTACTCCAGCCCAAACCAATTATATTCCGCCCCCGTCCTAGCTCAGATGCACACTGAGTCCTGAGCTTGGACCTCACCTAAAAGCTTGGAAAATCAAGTTTTCCCAAAAGCGACCAGCCCTCTTCACAGTACAGATCCCAGGCCTCTGGACTGGCATTCTAAACTTCTAGCATCTTCAGCTGACAACCCCACTCATCAAATACATACCTCTCCCCTTTGTGTTCCACCTCCAACACCCTAGACAAGAATGGGCAGACCCCCACACTGCCACTTGTCCTAAAGGGGATGGATGCTAAATCTCCCTCAATTTAACTTCATCCTAACACCCCACACCCAGGAACCATATCCTAATACACCCACCACTGACTGCATTAAGTCAGCCTTGTGTCCTTCAGCCTGACCGTGGTGGTGTCACCCTACCTCTGCCTTCTCACTCTTCTAGCAGGCCTGGCTGACGATGGCTTGCAGTGCTGACATGTGCCATTTGCCACCCCTCAGTTCCCTTCAAGCTGCAAGGGGACCAGGGGACTCGGAGAGGAGGATAAGGTGCAACTGGAACCCTAGCACACTGGCCTGGAGCCCCTAAGCTTGGTCCAGCCCACCACGCACATACACACACGTTGGCATGCACACAGTCACACACTGCCTAAGACTTCCTCAGCTGATACAGATATACTCTCAGATATCTACTGATAGACGTGCAAATGCCAAGTACTTGTCCTCACGTACACGTCCCTTGCCCATCCTTCATCCCATCTGGTGTCTCACTTCAATCCTGCTCCCAGCCTAGGGTGGGGAAGACACCTGAGGGACTGCCAGCTGCCTCCACACTTGGGCTTGGCCCACCCTCATGCTTCTTGCCCATCCTGTCCACAGGGGACTCGTGGGGGATGTTAGCTTGCCTGTGCACGGTGCTCTGGCACCTCCCTGCAGTGCCAGCTCTCAATCGCACAGGAGACCCAGGGCCCGGCCCCTCCATCCAGAAAACTTATGACCTCACCCGCTATCTGGAGCACCAACTCCGCACCTTGGCTGGGACCTACGTGAGTATCTAGCTTAGGAGTCTGGGCAATTGGGCGAGGAGTGAGCAGAGGAGTTGGGGGAAGAGAGCTGATAGTGGCGGGGTCCTGTTGAGTGACGGGGTGATGAGGAGGGGCCCTTTGGCTCCAAGCAGTCTCCCTAGTTGGCCTATCTCCTGCCCTTCCCTCTTAGGTGCCCCCCCTCCCCATCCCTGGCCCCAGGACTAGGCATGTGGGCAGGCCTTGCACCCGCCTTGGCCCATTGCCCCACTGGCTGCCAGCCCAGCTGCCCGCCTTCCCCTGGGGGCCGGGGAAGTCTCCTCTGTTTACACCGTGTTGTGGTGTCTCTTGCACGGGCGGGGCTGGGTGGGGATGGAGGGGCCCCACCTCCCATGCCTGTGTTTAAACTCTCTTCAGCCCCCAGACCTGGGGCCCTGCTGCTCTGGACCCATGGGCCTCCCTCTGTCTGCCTCTCCCATCCTAGCCAGGCCTCCTAGGGGGATCATGGGAGAAAGGGGTTGCAGAGAACCCAGGCCAGTAATGGCAGGGAGTTCAGGGTGTGGAGGGCAATTATGCTGTAAGGACTTTGGGGTGGTCCAGAGGTGTTCAGAGAGCCCAGGAGAGAAGGAAGGAGAGTTGGAGGAGCCGGGGACCATGGGGAACCAGCCCCCTCTTCCCGTGTTCCTCTTCCACATCCCAGACCCTACTCTGGAGCCAGGGAAGGAAAAGGGAGGAGGGTGGCGGGGGAGCTGGCTCCAGCCCCAGGATACACCGAGGAAATTAGTTTGTCTCTGTGCTTGTCAGCGTGTGAACCTCCCCCTGGGCCCTTGCCTATCCCAGGCCTCGCCCCTCTTCTCTCTTTCCCTCCCAGTTACATATCTCCTGCATCCCCTTCCCTGGGCCCCAGGCCATTCCCCAGAGGGTTGGCAAGGGCTTTGCCCTCTTCCCTAGACTATACTGCCTTCCATGCCTTTCCTGTCCCCTCTAGAGACTGCCTCAGTTTCTTCCTTCTGTAGCCCTGTTCCTAGCAACTGAACCCTGCCTTGGGGCACTGGTGAGTACCCTTCTGTCCCCTATTCCTTAGGCTGGGGGGAACAGGAACGTCAAAGAGGAGCTCTGATGCCAGCAGTCCCTCTGCCTTCAACCTTGGCTCAGCTCTCTCCAGTTTCCCTGTGTAGAAAACCTTTGCTGGGCTCTGCTACCTCCTCTAATTCCCGACCCTTTTTCTCTCCTGGCTTCCCCTGCCAAATTTCTCGAAGGAGTGGTCTACACCCTCTGCCTCCACTTCCTCTCCACCCACTCACTCCTTAACCCCCTGCAATCTGGCTTCCAGGCCGCGGCAACAGTTCTCTCCAGGTCGTCAGGCATCTTCTTCTCGCCAAACCCAGCGGCATTCTCTAAGGCTCTCTCTCCTTGCTGTTTTGCAGCCGCTCTGCGGAACACTGCTGCCTTCTTGAACTCCTCTCCTTGGCCTCTGCACTCTCCTGGCCAACTCTGCCTCTGCAGCCTGGCCTCCTGGCTCCTCGTGGCTCTTCTTCCTCTCTCCCTGCCCTGTGGTGGCACTCTCCTGAGGTCTGCCCTCTCAGCTGATCAGCACGTCCTTCCTGAGTGGCGCCTGCGTGGTTTTCTCTTTCTACCTCTCTTTGTAGAAGAGTTCATCACCCCACTGCTTCAGCTGTTACCTCCATGCAGATGACATTCCCGTTGAAGAAACTTAGGGGATGCCCATGAACAGCAAGGACTAGTATGGAGACAGGGCCAGTGTCAGGGAACAGGAGAGACAGACTATGGGGGCGGTGCTCTCCTGCTCCGCTCGCCTCCTTCCCCATCGCCCTCTCCTTTCCACAGCTGAACTACCTGGGGCCCCCCTTCAACGAGCCTGACTTCAACCCACCTCGGCTGGGGGCAGAGACTCTGCCCAGGGCCACTGTCAACTTGGAAGTGTGGCGAAGCCTCAATGACAAATTGCGGTTGACCCAGAACTACGAGGCCTACAGCCACCTCCTGTGTTACTTGCGTGGCCTCAACCGTCAGGCTGCCACAGCAGAGCTGCGCCGCAGCCTGGCCCACTTCTGTACCAGCCTCCAGGGCCTGCTGGGCAGCATCGCAGGCGTCATGGCCTCTCTGGGCTACCCACTGCCCCAGCCTCTGCCGGGGACTGAGCCCACCTGGGCCCCTGGCCCTGCCCACAGCGACTTCCTCCAGAAGATGGACGACTTCTGGCTGCTGAAGGAGCTGCAGACCTGGCTGTGGCGCTCAGCCAAGGACTTCAACCGGCTTAAGAAGAAGATGCAGCCTCCAGCAGCTGCAGTCACCCTGCACCTGGAGGCCCATGGCTTCTGATCTCTGACCCTTACCACCTCCTCTTTTCCCCTCTGCCCCTTCAAGCTCTGCTCCCACTCTGGGTAAGAGAAACCTGTATGCCAACACTTGTTGAGCCAGGAGACAGATGGTGGGATCTCTGGTCCTCCAGGCCTTGGGTGGGGGTGTGGTACGTCCTGACCTCTGCCCAGCTCCACGAGTCCTATGGGTCTGCAGAAGAAATGTGTCAGGGGCCATCCTGTTTCCAGGGAGGTTATGTTCAAGGGAGCTGAATGGCTCAAGTGAGGGCAAAGGCTCTCACCACCTATTGCTTGCTGCCATCACCTGCCAGTGCCCTCCAGCCCCTCATTTGAAGGCAGGAGTAGGGGCCACTGTAGCATGTGCCTTTCTGGAGTGAAGCCTCTCCCACCCCATAACTCCACATTCAGTTCAGGAAACAGAAAGGCGACACGTCTAAACAAGAAGAGATGGAATGAAAAATGGAAGGGGTGGGGTCTGCACTGGAGGTGGCCTAAAAACCAGAAGAGGTAATACCGAAAGGCGGGTAGTCACCCAGGTAATCAGTGGCATAAGGTGGCTGAACGTCAGGACCTCGCCTCGAGTTTCCCTGCCGGCATCACGTTGCCTCCTCTCTGCCCTTTCCCAGGGTGTCTGTGGTTGCCCAGGCTGGGAGGGCGGCCACGGCCACAGCCACAGGGTTTCCTGAAAGTTTACATTGCAGTAGCATTGCAGGGAATGGGGACAGCTCCCCAGGCCCTGCCCCCCAGCCCTACCCACTCATGACTCTAAGTTTGTGGTATTAATATTTATTTATTTGGAAATGTTATTTATTAGATTATATTTATTGCAGAATTTCTATTCTTGTATTAACAAATAAAATGCTTGCCCCAGAACTCAGTCTTTTTGCTTTCCTGGTCCTCCTGGGGCACACTGTGGGCTCTCTGGGCCCCACCTACCCTGGCTCCCATTGTCCCCTTTTCCCAGTGGAGGTATGTGGGGCTTGAGGAGGTGACTTTCCTCCCTCTAGCTCCAGGGCAAAGACACACAACTTGGGTCTGTCTCCTCCTGCTCCCGGCTCTGTGGTGTCTTGGTGCTCCTAGAGAACTATCGCTTTTTGCTTTTTGTCCTTCTGCCTTTGCCCAGTCTGCTTTCCCTCTGGACATGCTTTGTGCATGTCTCCCCTCTGGCCCCTCCTGCACTTGATGAGCACAGCTATACATCTGCCCCGCTGGGGTTCTCCCCAGTCACCCTTGGGCATTCAGTCCCCAGGACCCCTGCCAGTGGCTGTCTGATGGGGCCCTCACCTCAACACCCTTTATCTCCTCGAGAGAGTGATGGACTATGGCCAATTCACAACTTTCAGCTGTGACTCTGTTCCTTTCTCATATTGTGGGAAAGAAAACTTCTATTGAACTGAGGGAAAATGGGACAGATGCTATTCAAGGGTTAAACTATGTTAACTCCATTTCACAGCCTGCCAGCTGAATGACTTTAGATAAATAAAAGCTTTCTGTCTCTGGTCTCCATCTATAAAATGGGAATAGTTAAATATTTTTATGAGATTGTTAGAAAGGGTAACAAAGAATAAAGGTTGTAGCAGCAGCAATTGTGGAAATTAGATTATGTGAGATATGTCACTATGCCATGACCCTTTAGTTAAGAGCCACTGGGTAAACTAATGGGTTAATTGCTTCCAGGTAATACACGGATATTTCATAAGGGCCTCCTGGAAACAGTGTGTTAAGCAAGGAAATTGGTAATGTCCATCAGCTGACAAATTTTTAAAGCTCTAATTATCTGCCTTTCACTGTCCTGATAAAAGAAAGCCAAAAGAATTTGAAGACCTAACTTGGCTCCTGCTGTTATAGAACTTGCAATCTACTTGGGAAGGAAAGTTTAGCTTCCTTGAAATAGTAAGGGACAAAAGCACTCATTCGCAACACAGAGGAGGAGGTTCCCATAATTGCATGAGCCACCAAAGAAAAGCGAGGTCAGAATGCTGGTGCAGGAGCTACTGGACCTGCTAGTGGGCCAGCCAGCCTCTACTGGATGCCAACTGGTGCATGTGAAACATGTTCTACCTCTACGGGCAATGACACCTGCCTATGCATGGCCGGGGCACTTGCAGGCCCTGTCCCCAGCCTACAAAGACAGAAGAGGGGATCTGTGCCATTCTGTCCCCATACAGAAAAACCAATGTGCTGCAGCTGCAATGTGCAAAGCAGTAAGTCAGGGCTTTGAGGCAGACGGAGAGAGAGGTGGGTGTCCCATCCCCAGAGAACTCACATCCTACCATCCTGTCGATTTCATTTTTTTTTCTTTTCTTTTGGTACTGGATATTGTACCCAGAGATGCTTTACCACTGAGCTACATCCTCAGTCCTTTTCTTTTTGAGTCAGGGTCTCTCCATGTTGCTGATGCTGGCCTCAAACTTGTGATGTTCCAGCCTCAGCCTCCCAAGTTGCTAGGATCACAGGCAGGAGCCCCCATACCTGGCTAAATCCTTAATAATTTGATTTCAACTGATTTTAAAGAGTGTTCAGGAGTGTTTTAGAAGTTGAGAGAAGAGTTTGAAGGAGACAGCTGATGAACGGTCTCAGATGCCCCAGGGGAACTGAGAGAAGAATGTAGAGAAAGATCTACTGGCTTTGGCAGTTAGAAGTCACAAGTGACCTGGGAAAGATCAGGTGAGAGGCGGACACCAAATGGTGAGACAAAAAGAATACTACTGTGGGAAGAAAACAGAGTGGGTAAATATATTCCCTCAGAGTTTAGTGGTAAAGGGATAAGATTGAGGCAGGGTTGTTTTGTGATGATTGTTTTTAAACAGAAGAAATCTAAACATGTCACTGCTGAGTGAGGAGGTGGTGACTGGAGAAGTGTGGAGAGGTCTGGGATGTGCATCAAAGAAAACCAGAGGAGAGTCCAAAGCCTTGCTAGGCACCCATATAAGAAGAGCCAGGTGATCTCAGCAGATACCTCTTTGTCATGTGCCCATTCTGCATGAATTATAACACTTCCTACTAAGACAGAGATGGCCCGAGGTGGGAACAGAGTATAGAGGGTTTCCAAGTCTGAGGACTGGCAAGGCAGGGATGGTAGAGAATCAAGGGGCAAGGGACTTTCGCATGCTAAAAACCATACTGTTGAGTGGCTGTGAGCCTCTGAGCCACACAGTGCAGGTGGGATGGACAGCAGAGGGAAACAGAAGCAAGGAACAGTCAGTAGATGCATGCCATGTGGGGAGTGCTAAGTTCACTCATGCCCATGCAGAGCTTCATGGGGACAGGGACGGATGCAGGTGGGTGGGGGTAGAAGGGCACTTCAGAACTGGAGTTTTGGAACTCTTTCCCGAATAGCTCTTAAACATGAGGACAGGGGCTATGGGCCCCTCCTTTGGGTTTTGGCACCATGTTCAGTCCCACAGGGCCTCTTGTGAAAATGTCATCATCATGGGACAGGAGCACATGGCAGATGATAGGTTGTCAGTGTCTTCTTAGGATGTGACATTGGTTCTCTATGCTTAGCTGCTTTGGGAGTGCTGATGAGTTTTCTTTGGTTATTCAGGTTCCATTTCCTAAGTAAGGCCTTAGAGTTGAGCCCAGGTTTCCAGAGACCAATATACAAATCCAGGCTACTTTGGACTCTGCAGTGTCATGGGAATAGGGGAACTATCTCTAGAAGTCCTTATATTCCCAATAAGGCTAGGGAGAGAAAGATAAATGGATTAAAAATGCATAAATGGATTAAAAACCTGTCATCTTTTTTGGCAGTATGGGTGGCTGAACTCAGGGGCATTCTACTACTGAGCTAATCCCAAGCCTTTTCTATTTTTTATTTATTTTTTGGTACCAGGGATCAAACCCAGGGGCAATTAACCACTGAGCCACATCCCCAGCCCTTTTAATAGTTTACTTTAAGACAAGTTCTTGCTAAGTTGCTTAGGGTCTCACTAAGTTGCTGAAGCTGGCTTTGAACTTGTGACCCTCCTGCTTCAGTCTCTGGAGCTGTTAGGATTACAGGCATGCGCCACAGCACCCAGCCTATATTTTTTTTTTTGTCTTGAGATAGAAACTTGATGATGCTAAGGCTGGCCTTGAACTTGGCAATCCTCTTGCCTCATCTTCCAGAGTGGCTGGTATCATAAGTGTGCACCACTGCACCAGGCTCATTGTCATCTTCGGTGCTTGGAAATGTGCTTGTGTTCTGAAAAAATAAGCACAAGAGGGGGAACTGTCACTTGGGACAGGAGGCAACTTGCAGGAGGGTAGGAGTGGGTACAGAGGAGGCTTTGATGAGAGGTGGCAAATCGTGAGACCTTGCCAGCTTCCTGCTTTTACAGATTGACCCAACATCCAGGACTTAGGGCCCCCTCTGTAAGCAAGGGGCTCATTCAATAACCCATCTTACACACACTCAACACATAGTGTGTAGACAGAGGCTCTCGGTCTCCTTTAGCCTAGAGTGCAAGGAGAAGTGACTCAAGCCTGGTTGGGGGCCCTATTCTTTCAGCACCCGCTTCTCCTCTGGAACCACAAAATGTCCCTTAAATTCTTAGGCTCCCTGACTCATCTGGTACCTGGATTTCCAGGCAGGGGACAAAGCCCTTGTCCATGGGGTGGCAGAAGAGGCAATGAGAAATTAACTGTGAGCAAGATTTTGAGCCAGAGTTCCAGTCCTCAGCCTAGCTAGTTCAGAGGTCACTTCCAGGTTCCTCCCCAACCTCCAAGTCCTGGCTGATTGGGGGGGGGGGGGGGGATTGGACCCATTAATTAGGACCATCTTCCCAGCTAGACAAAGTCTGACACCTGGTGGCCAAGGTGAGAAATAGCCAGAGGGGCCCCTTTTCAAATCTCCCCAGAATTTCTGCAGAGCTAGGATGACCAAAGTGAAAGGGGGAAATGACCAGAAGAGATGTGGAGGGTGGGGATGAGGCAGAAGAGACATCAGAGACCCACATGAGCATTTTCCTCCCCTGAGATCTGTCCCTTAAAACCACTAAGTCCCAGGACCTGGACCAGGGAGATGAGGGGTGTTTGGGAGGATGGTGAGGGACTAGAAGGAGCTCCTGAAAGAATGTGGCCCACAGGGTAAGGAATGGGGCCAGGATGTGATTCTGGGTGTTCCTCTGTCTGCCCAGAATCTCCTAAGCTGGCCTGATTTCCACTTCAGGGTGGCTGGCAGGGCCTGAGGGCCTGAGGAAGGGGAGTGCTGGGAGAAGGGAAAACTGATCAATACTCCACACCGCACTGAGCTCCAGGCAGCTACTCTCCTCCCTCCACCCCCATTACCTGACTCTCTTCTCAAGCCCCACTGTGACCCAGGGAAGGGGCTCTCTGGCATGGACATTAGTGCAGCACTGAGGCCCACCATCCTGCCACATGGTCTGAGCTAAACCAGTCCTAATCCCCCTCTCCTGAAGTGGTCAGTAGTGAGCCTTGGCCCTCTGGAAGGCACTGGTCTTCCCTCCCAATTCCCAATTCCTTGCTCTCCTAGGCTCCCCAGGACTTTGGTCTTGGCCCTGAAGCAAGGGCCTTCAGTGTTCCCAAGATGCAAAGATAACTCTTGCTAGTCCCATCACTAGCCTCTGGGTGTCAGGGCTATCACAGGGAACCTGTGCTAGGGCCTCAGGACATTCACCAAAGGAGAACTTAGCACCTCCCTCTTCAGACCCCTGACCTGGCCATCAGCATGAGGACTGAATTTTAACAGGCAAGGACAGGAGTTTGGGGAGGCCCAGGAAGCTGCCTGAGTAGGGGCAGGGGTTCTAGGGAAGATGGGACAGGAGGAAGATGGGGTTGGAGAATAAAGGAGGAAATGACCTAAAGCTGGGCAGGTAGCACATCTTAGTCAGTGGGGGAAGGATGCCATTGGGTCAGAAGGTAGTTCTAAATTCTCTGAATGCCAATGCCTGCCTTAGGACTCAGTCCCACTGCCATCTGACTAGGAGGGGAGGGCATGCTGCTTGGGGGACAGTTTCCTCATCCATAGGCCAGAAGACCAGTCCAAGGGTCCTACAGTTGGGCTGACCACTCTACTTTCTCCTTCTGGGGCCTGGGGTGCTGAAGATCATGGGAGACATTCCAGGCCAGGTGGCAGAGGACAGCCAGGCCTGAGCCAGGCAGAGCTGGAGACAGTAGGCAGGACAGCTGAGTATCCATAGAGCAGGTCAGGATGCCAGAGGCTGCCAAAGGAGAGAAGGGAATAGGCCCAGGCAGCAGTGGGAGCTGCTGTGGCCGCCCAGCGGCACACCCCATTTCACGCTCCCTGGGCGGTGGCAGGCCCCACGGCTATCAGCTTTCAGGGGTGGGAGGGACCAGGAATGAGGAGGGGTCCGCCCCACCCATGGCACCCTATTCCCTTAGGGCTTTGTGAACTCAGGAGGTGGGAGCCACACATCTCTGGGAACAGCCCAGGAGCCCCTTGCTGAGAGGCCCTCCAGCCTAGGGGGTTGTTAGTCCCAGAGCCTGGGTGTCATCCCTCTGGATTAGACCCTATATCTATGCCCTTCCCAGCCTGGGCCTCCCTGCTGCTC